GGTGGCATTAATTTAAACCCCCCCCCCCCCCCCCCCTTTGCTATACAACATAAATGACATGACTTTGAATTACATTACTTGTTTCGTGCTGTCGAACAGCTAATTCCCAGCTCCCATCAGTCACCTCCGACTTACTGGACATAAATATTTCATTTGCTAACAAGTTGCAGAATAATAAGGACTAAACAAATTAGTGGATTCAATGGCGGCCTAGGTGGCTTTAACCCATCGACTGCTGCAAGAAGGGAGGGGAGTGCTTGCAGCTGGTCCCCATTCACACCTTTGTGTTATAAATCATATGAATTGCAAATGCGTTCATTGATGTGCATTGTTAACATTTAGTGTGTTTACATGATTTTTAATGTGACCCGCAGCAAAAATCACGCATCGAAAAACACGCATCGATACATGTTAACACTGAACTCCAGGCAAACAGTTAAATACACAGATTAAAGATATAAGGGAACTCTTTTACCTGCCAAAGGATTTGGATTTCTGTCCATCCAGTTCTAGATTTGTACAACTCTTCCAAGCAGCACAACCTATCTATCAAGGGAGGGGATTTGTTTGTTCTCTTTTGTAGTTGCACTTTCACTTACACGTCCAGGCTGTGACTGGACAATGAAAAGAGGAAACAGTACACTGATTAGCTCATCTATTTGTGTGGGCCGGTGCACACCTGGGCGATTTATCGCGCGGTTTGAGTAGCGCCATATCCAGCAAAACACAGATTCGCATTGAAGTCAATGTAGGCTGTTCACACCTTTGCGTTTTGTCGCGCGACCGAAATCACCAGTCGCGCAAAAAGGTGCAGGAGCTATTTTCGGGCGGTTTGGGTCCCATAGACATCTCTATGCATTGATAATCACGCGACAACCGCGTGGTTTACAGTCGCGCGATCGGAAACGCGTGACAACCGCGCAAAAACATCTCAGTATCTGAATCGCCTAGGTGTGAACCTAGCCTGACTCTGCTATTTCGTTCTTTCAGCATGTTCTATATATCTATGAGGAATACAGGACATTTATCCACATGATATGAAAGAAAAGATGAGAAGGGAGGTTGGGGAGTTCTGAAGCCCTGTCCTAGGGTGACAATGCTGCTCCTCCATGGATTCAGTACGGTGAAGCAGTGTTGTCACCCTAACACAGGGAGTGTGTTACTGGCAGGACCACCAGGTGAAAATAAAGGGAAAGATAGAAGAAAGGTATCATGGCTACCACAATAAAGGAGTGAAAGGCTGCCATGTATCACATTTTTGTTCTTGTGTTTTGTTAGGCTTTAAGGCAGGGATGGCCAGACTGCTGCCCTCCAGCTGTGGTGGAACTACGAATCCCATGAGGCTTTGCAAGATTCTCACAGCCACAGACATGACTCCCGGAGAGAGATGCTTCATGCGATTTGTAGTTTCACCACAGCTGGAGGGCCGGAGTTTGGCCATCCCTGCTTTAAGGGCTAGGCAGTACACTGGGGAAACGGTCCTTGACTGGGCACCAGAGAA